GTATAGTATTTAAATATATGCCTGAGAAACATAATATTGGCCCTTTAACAGAAATCGTGTTTCTTTTAAATTCCCAGTTACTGAAAATATTTCTATTCAAAGCCCTTTTTTCTTCTGACATCATACCTCCCAGCAACAAAATTTCAGCTTTTTTGTTGAATTACAGATCAGCCAGATCCATTTGGGTTCATCAAAACTCTGCTTTACTTTAAACCCAAATAAAATTATGCAAATTACATATTGAAAGGCTTTAAACAGCCTATTTTATTCTGTGCGTGATGTTGCTTTAATTCCAGTTTTTGTTGTATGAAAACATTAGTTTGGTGGTTATTTGTGCGTTTTCTGGGTGAACATTAGTGAATCCTTGAAACTTCTCTGTCCTCAGAAGCTGCAATTTAAACCAGACCTTAGAATTATTCTGAACACCTCCCACCACATTTAATCCACTGTCATTGCAGCTGTGGGTCGTCTTCAGTCTGCTTGCTGACACATTTCCACAACTCTCTTCATTTTAAAGAATTAAAACTCTTAAAAACAGCAACCRACATCTACTTTGCTTCTAGTCACAATATTGTTTGATACAGGATTAATTTGTTGTAACAATGCTTCTTGGCAATAAATCTTATACCCTTTGAAAATCTGTTAATTTCCCTTTTAGATGGTGCCAMATTTGTAAGGAACATGCATTTGTGGGATGAGCAGTAGAGCTGAGTGATTGTGCACATGAAAAATGTGTCAAATCTTCACCAGTTTATTTTGCTGTTGACTCTTGTTCAAGCTTCTGGTAGCCTCAGATGTTGCCAATCAGGTACATGATAAGATTTATTGGTACAACAAAGAACTTATCCACCAAACACAAAAATTTATACAAGGTGTTTATAGTTGAAAATAATCAGTGAATACCCACTTCCTGTAAAGGCGATCCAGCGAGCGAAGCGGATGGCCTCATGGTGCCAGTGTGACATCACCAGCAGGCTGCAGGTGACACTGAGTGAGATGATCCCCAGGAGGATGAAGAAGAAGGTCGTGATCCACTCTCCGGGCAGCTGAGGAGGGATGCAGATCCGCTTTCGGCCGTGGATGGTCTGGCACTGCAGGACTAAACCCACAGTCAGAGAGCCTGTGTTGAACAGAGGACGAGTCAGAAGCTACAAAATAATAATAGTAAATAAATAGATTTATTGCCTTTCTTGTAAAAATGCATTGTGAATGTTTATTGCTGCATAATTTAGCAGCTGACGAAGTTCAAAGTCATAAGAAATATTACAAATGCTGAACTGTCAATGCTCGCTGAGTTTGAACATTTGAAATAGAAACCAAATTTAGCTGAATGGTTGCTGAAATTTGCTGAAGAACCTGAACTATGTAAAAAAAAAAGCTTAAAGGAGACGAGACAGTTTTAAGATGCAAAAATGTGCAGAATAAAAGGTAAAAGAACAGGAAATTCGCTGAAAGTGGCAGAAAAAGCTGAAGAGAGCTGAAGTAGCAAAACCAGAACCAGAAAAGGTGAAATGCTGTCAATAAAAAAGACAAATCTTTGAGGTTTTTCKTTTTTAGCTATGACAACTTTTTCTTTGTGATCAAATGCATGTTTTGTTCCTAAACCCATTTTTTTCTAAACGCACTACAGACCTCTAACATGACAGTCCTTGGTTTGATCTGAATTCATACAAAAGGCACTGTTGTTATCAAACACCTAATGTTGCAATGATTAAAATATTTATCTTCATTTTGTTTAAATATTTAATACTTTTCTTAAAAAGACATTTGTAGGTTTTAATTTCATTGAAAATGTACACAGAGTGTACTTTAGCACTTTTTGTTCTGAAATCTAACTTTTTTTATTTGTTTCAAAATTTATTCATTTCATTAAAAACAAAATAACTCTATACAATAG